CAAAAAATTTTATTTCCAAAAAATTACTTCAATTTTCGACTAAGAGAAAATTGTTTCACAGTGCCCTCCTAAATTCGATTAATCGAGTATAAGAAATTTAGAGTCGGTAAAGTCTTAGCACATAGAAAATGACATTATGCACAACTTTCGTAGTCGTGCTTTTGCTTCAAAATGCTTTCTTTCACAGAAATGAGGGCCATGTTCTTTTCAAAATACTTTTAGCCCTAAAACTCCAACGAAAAGCTAAAAGCTGGATTTCTTCGTCCAATTTCAAGCTGAAATGATGGAAACATTTTCCTATATACAACTCGATTTACTTATGTAATACGTACAGTACAAATATTCGTCTCTCCATGTCTCAGAGTGAATGATTCATAAAGCAAAAAGAAACTTCTAATTCAGTATGTTTTCGGAAGATACTTAACATTTGACATATACCTCATCTAATGTTCACAGTAGCGTATCGTATTTCCAAGTGATTTGCTCATTCAGACACAACTAGAAGCCGGCAAAATTCCAGCATGTGTAGTTTGTCACCATTGGATGGAATGGTTGTCAACTATATTAAGAAGAAATAAAAATGTACTCACAAAATAAGAAGAACCGAGATTGTACAAGTATTGCTGGATTTGGTATGATTAATAATACTTTTGCTATATCAACTAACTTATTCCTTTCCAGTTGTATGCGAGACTAAACTTCATTATTTTATATAGTATGAGAGAAAGAGAAAAAAGATTTTCGAGGCATTTCTTTCTTTCATTGAGTTTTAATCCCATCATTTGTTCGTTTGTCATATATAACATCACATAGATTGACGGCAAAGAATAATCTTGAAAATTATCTGAATCTTTCCTTTTCTCTTTTGATCTTGACGTTTCTAACTTGAGTTATTAAAAATAAGTAAAAACCTAATAGTTGTCAATCAACAGTCATATGATGCTCGTCCCATATTAGTGGCTTTTTATACTGCGTGTCTCGGCAAAACAAAAGGATGAATGTGTCTTACATACGGTAGTTCATTCAAAGTCGCTCCGAATTTCAAGAATTTGATCGGAAAATTCCCCGTAAAATTTCAATATTTCAGTAACGATACAACTTTTTGATTTGCGGCTTTTGCCAAAATTCATCAAAATGTTTGATCTTAAAGGGCCCACTAGTCTGAAAAAGTTTTTAGAATATCGATTGAAAAACGTCCGTTATGGCTTACGTGCAATGGTCATTCTTAATTCTTAAACGAACAGAGTTGAAAACGAGATCACTATAAAGATATAACAATGATTAGCCCCATTAACCTATCATCTCTACTTAGCTTCATTTTTTGGTATAAACTGTTTCTTGAGAAAAGGAACAGCAAAATACTATTATGCTGTTGGATGCAGTGCTGTGACTTTCAACTCTGGTTTTTCGGTAGACTCGGACTTGGCCTTAGACTAGAGATTTTCTTGAATGACTCAGACTCGAACTTGTATTTTGTATTTCAAGTTCGTTCGATTCAACTTTTAATATAAATGAACTGCATGAATTGCATTTTTCCGATATTAGTATTATATAGACACATATGTGTTACCCTCTTTAAAAATTATGCTTAAAAAATATGTTATACGGCTCAGGAGAAAAAAGGAAGCAGGGAGGCCGTTTTGTGATGAAGTGGGCCTATTAACCGAGTTCAGTTTTATTCGTACGGTAGGTACAATGCCACTAGAGGAGTCGAACTGGACGTTACCGAAACCTTAGAACTACTTCTCACGAGGAATTTTATCACTTGAATATTTTCTCGACTCGAAGTCCAGTAAAAATCGTATTTACTATGTTGGTATAAACTTTATTTGAAAAAGAAAATCTTAATACAGATCGAAATCGCGATCCAATGGATCACATTGTATCAATTTGCAAAAGAGTCTTAATGAACGGATCAGTAGAAAAGTTAACAAAGAGACATACAAAAATGCAAGAAGAATTGGAGAGAGGAAGAAAAAGATTGATCGTCAGTTGTAGAGGAATATGATTAAGTATCCACGTCTAGTATGATGTCCGCATTATGGAATTTTGAGAATAAAATATTTCGTGTATGATTATAATGAGGGAGGGCATTTAAGGAAAAAGTGTTTCGTGTCCTCAACTACTTGAACGGAGAGTGATAAAAATAAGCAGTTTTCGCAAAGACTTTCGGAGACAACTTTGTGGTGCTTTAGATGATGGTTTAATGCAGAGAAATCGACTTTTAGTCGACAAAATAGCGCATCAATTCTCCGATTCAGCAGACAGGGTAATTTGTTTGCAGGAGGTAACAAGTGGTTTTTAACTTCTATGCGGAATTTATAAGGTTTCGATTTATTTTGAAAGTCAGGTCTTTGTAAAAGTAGTTCGGTCCACTCTTTAATAGCAGTTGGAAAGAAAGAATTCTGGAAGAAAACACTCTTGTCTCTATAATCATACAGTTGATGACTGCTGTTTAACGAATCAAATGCTGGTTAACGAATATTTCGTGTTCTTTGGTTCGGGAAACTTAAAGTATTAATTGGATGTCCTAATTAGTCCAAAGTAATACTTAGAAAACATACACATTCTATTGACAAAGAACAAATTAGAAAATGGTAACCAGCCTTGATCTTGAGCAATTGTATCGTGAGGCTCAGCTATTCTCAAAACGAGCAATTAAAGTAATTGCTCGTTTTGAGAATAGCTGAGCCTCACATTTACCAGTATTTAAATAAATTTGCCATATTACACATCACTGTAATATCTTTTCAAGATCTCTATTTAATATATCTGTAGAGTGTTGAAGAGTTGAGCCATAGTGAAAAAGAGAGGCATCATCAGCATAAAGTTTATAGAAGGACTGAAGATTTTGGGGTAAGTCGTCAATATAAACAAGAAAAAGCAGTGGATCCAGGATGGAGCCCTGAGGAGCTCTTTAGGTAATTCTCTATCCAACTTACAACCTGTTCATTTACACCTTTTTGTCGATGTTTAAAAATAAGACCTCTGTGCCACACCGAATCAAACGCTCTAGAAAAGTCAAGAATTACTATGTTTTGTCGAACAGAGTTAATCACACGTATTATATACCACACAAAAGCTCTTTCCTTCAGCAACATTTCTGTATATAGAACATTGAAAACTAATTGCGTTTGAGCAGAGAAAAAACCTTGGCAGGGTAGCCCCTATCGGCGATAAAATGTGAAAGTTATAATTATACCGTTATAGAATAAATCAGCTTACTTTTGTACGATCAAATAAAGCCTCTTTTCAGTTCGTGTAAAGGTATTTTTAAGATCACCTAAAAGTATCATCGTCAGTCGCGTAAAACTTTTCAGAATACGTAAAGACTTTTTAAGGTCTGATAGGAGCCACTTTAAGAAAGCGTAAGTTCATATTTAGGTTTAGGATGTAGGAACAAGGGGATGATGGGTAAAAATTCATGTAAATCCAGCCTTCAGATGGTGTACATACACATCCAAAGTAACTAGTAATCGCGTGGTTTTTCAGTATAAACCAAAACTCCCTCTACGTTGTAAGATGGGAGAAGTTTCACAAAACCAAGATACCATTTACTACTATATGAGATATGAGATCTATTCTCCATAGCTGCCAAAGCCTATTTGGTAAAAGTGCGACGGTCTGAGAAGCTTTTGTTTTCGATAAGACGATTTGAACATCGCAATTTTGGCCAAAAATTTCAGGAATGATTTTCTCCATGGAGACGGGGCCATTCTGCATCCCCCTAGTATACTGTTGGAGTACACCAGGTGTACTATCATAGTCCATGCTGCGATTCGTGGGATTCGCTAAAATGTCTTCGGAAGTGGACCGGTGGGGAGATGGAGTTTTAGAGGTACTTCAGTTCGATATGCAACTTTTCGCAAGAAATTCAATGGTAATACAGCAACAAGTTGATTTACTGTTAGCACGACCCTATGTGATATTTTCACATGCCAGTCAGTGGCTACTGAATAACTAAAGTGGATAAGAACGAAAGGCTACAGAAACTTGCGGTTTTTGCGCTTCGATAGTCAAGACTTTAAAACTAAAAAAAAGTTGAAAGCATTTCTCAATGATCGGTTTTTTAGACGATCTCTGGAAAACTGGTGCTTAACTGTAAGCGATAAGCTAAGTTAACAATATATTGGATTTTTTCATGAGTAAATAGCGTAGAGTGTCCTCTTCAAAGTGCGAGCCAAGCGAGACTTTGATTTCAAGTGCTTTGGACGTGGTATGTGATTTACATGAAGTTCCAGGACTGGCACTCAGTGGTTTGGAGTTACCTGGAGAGGCCAAGAGTAGTACATAGTCGACCATGTTAAATACGATGGCAACTTTTTTTTTAGTTTACTTTATGTTATCCTTCCTATTTTGCTTATCGATACTGCTAGCTTATCGTTTACAGTTACGAACCAGTTTTTCATACATCTTCTAGAAAACCGATCATTGAGAAATGCTTTCAGCTTTGTTTTAGTTTTAAAGTCTTGACTATGGGGTTTTTTGTAAGTTTACGACCTAAAGTGTCTAGTTTCAGAATCTGAAAACCGCAGGTCTATAACTTTCTTCGTTGAAAAGTTATAAGCAGTTTGCCGAATTCTTTTTAAATTTCAATAATAGCCGGTGCAGAATTTGATGATAAACAACTGTTGTTCTCAAATCTTTCTTTTAAGTTGCTTCCTGAAGCGAAATTTGGTTCGATGAATTTTTAAAATTACGTTTTGCACGAAAAATGCATTGGTCAAGTGAAATTTCAATTTCTCGCCGAACTTCATCCGATGATAATGAAAGTTTTTGTATATTTACTCTTCTATCAAATGATATCAAGTTTAGATTTTCATCTTAGAAAATAAAAGTTTCATCGAAACTTTAAGATGGCACCAAAATTTGAGAAAAAACTTTAAAAAGCTTTTTCAAAAGCGACGTGTTACAACAACATGTTACAAATATTTCAGAGATTTCTATTTCAAAATGTTCTCTACAAATATGTAAAAAAATCCGAGTAGGGGTGCCCCGCCCTAATCGCACATGCAGTTTAACTTCAGGAATCCACCACAATATCCACTTGATCTTCCTTGACGACAACACTCTCTTGCACATGCACTTTCATCAAACGGACATCGAATTCCTATAAATGAAGTATCAGGACCACAAGTGGCATCTCTCGGGTCGTCGGTGCATTGGCAGGCTGGATCGAGTTTAATTATATGTTTATATTCCGTCCCGGCAGGTTCCCCTTGACTTATTATCCTAGCACCAAGTACAGCACTTCCGTCACAAAATCCGGTAAGGTGGCCAGCATGGCAACAAGATTTGTCACAACTTTCCATTCCTTCGTCCGCCGGTCTTCCAACTGGTGTACCGCATGTAGTTTCGACCAATTTACCGCAAACATAGTCAACTGCGTACTCAGTTTTATACGGAATTGCTTTATACTTCTTCCACCGGGCTTGAAGTGCCACTCCGCGCTATAAAAACAATTAGAATTATAAAGCACAACCATTAAACTCACTTCGAAGCTGTTTAAAAAAAACTTACCATAATGCACAAAAACGCAAATCAAAAGATCAGAATTTAAATATGATTAAGCTGTTCCAGAATCTTAACTGAGAATTCCTTGATAAACTATTTCAAACTGTTCTATAGAAATATATTTCTTCAGGGAATTTATAAAGTAAACAATTACTAAATCTATTGCAACTAGTTATTATAAATGTTGTTATCATCAGTTGCTACCTGTGGTGAAAGTGTGTAATTACACTAAAACAAGACTAAAGTCGTTGTGCATGAATGCGTTCATGTCCATTTTAGTATGGAAATGGTCCTAAAGTTTATATCATTTTATTGGTGCACCGAAATATAGGAACCTTTTTCTGCATATAAATTACGAAAATATATTTCCGAGTGAACAGAGCACTAAGTGTGTTCGAAACACGTATCGCGTTCTTATTTAATGAAAAAGTTATTTTGTTCACGGTTGTTATTATTATTTATTTTTGTGTCACAAAGGCAACTGTTCAACAATTACAAATCTTTAGTGCTCTGTCCATTCGAAAGTATATTTTTGTGATTTACATGCATAAAAATGTGTCTATATTTCAGCTACTTCGTTTGGCCCTTCTACATTTGACGAGCAACCTCAATCGTTTCAGACAATGGTTCACAATTTTTTCCCTTTACGTTTTTACTTATTCTCATTAATATTTTCAAATTCTACGTTGAAAACTGACTCTAGAAAGGTCTCTTTCAATGACGTTTGGTCAAAAGTGAAATTTCGGCTGAGCTCAGAACTGGCTAAGCTCAGCGGTCGATACTCTCAGCTTGCAAACCTATCTAGTTTTTTGGGTTAAGGGTGACATACTGTTAGATAGCCCAAATAATAAGCTTTAAAAGTATGGAGAGCTTTTTTTAAAATTCCTTTCCATTGCTGAGAAAATTCATTTTTTCTGAATAAGATGCGAAAAATTCTCAATTGTGCCCGTAATTCTCAGCTTTCTTTATCAGAACTCAAGTTTTAAGCAATAAAAACCTCATATCCTCCTTCACTCATTTCTAGTCCAAAAATAAAATTTTCAAAGAATGATTAGCAGAGACCATAGAATGTACATCGGTTCGAAAAATTACATAGGGTCTCTAGTTTATGCATACGATTTTGCAGTGCATCTCTGGAAAAACCCCTACAGAACCAAAGTTCAGATCAAGTTTTCTCGACCAATTCCGCCTTCTATGATCTCTGCTTATCATTCCCTGAAAATTTCAGTCTACTGTAATTTTTTACAGTGTTCAGACTTTTTAAACAAGTCTTGACAATGTTCCTTTACCGAGTTTATCGGACATTGTGTTATCACTCCACTTACTTCAGTAATGCACAAAAACGCAAAATCAAAAGATCAAAATTTAAATATGATTAAGCTGTCCCAGAATCTTAACTGAGAATTCCTTGATAAACTATTTCTATGAATAATCGCGGTGCTACTTCAATGATTGAGCGTCAAAATACGTACCTGAGGATCTGGATACCAAGTGTATCTTTTTCCAATGATCGTTTGCGCTGAAAAACAAAAGAGCTGAGTGAATATAAATTAGTGAGTCCCCACGCGTGGTCATGACCTGGGAAAGGCAAAATTTTCCTGCTTTTAGCGTTCTTTTGGAAAGCGTTTTTGTTGCTTAAGACGATTTTTTCTGAACGTGTGCTAGCAGAGAGGAACCCGTTCTTTTGCAAGAGAAACGCGTTTTAAAACAACGCGAAAAGCATCTCCAGGACGCGTTCCATTTTTTCAGGAACGCATTCTTGGGTCTTCTTTTTTATGAACTTTTTCACATGTGTAATGTGATATTTTCACATTGTTTCCACATTTTCTTAGATATACTAGCAAAATACTTAGATGAATCCAAAATTTGTTCTGGTATTTGGTCCTTTTTTTGATTTTCTAGCCATTTTTACAAAAAGTGGGAAACCTATTGAGTATAAATTCTGAAAGAGCAAACATCTTTACACATCCGGAATGTGTTTTTAGAATTTTAAACAGCATTCCGATAGTAATGGTAGGCTACAGCCATGTAGTGCCAACAGTGAAAATTGATTTTTCTCCAAATTAGTATTTTCTTGCATTTTAAAGTTTATATTCGTGGTCAGCGTAATATATCAACAATGTCAAGAGCCTATTACTATCTCAAATTCGAGCTAAGAGGAGCCTTTTCAGAATTATTACAATACGTGCATCGCAATCTAGCTCACCCGGCGCTGTTGTTGTGGAAGATGAACTCTCAGTACTAGCCGTTATTAGTTGAGAAACGGTGATGATCGTGTTGGAGGTGGTGGTAGTGGAACTAGTAGTAGTCGTCACTGCTGCAAAATCTAAAACAACACAACAATGAAAAATATTTCTTCTACAAGTCATATTTAATAGCTGCCCTTACAATCTTTTTCGATTAATTTCTTAAATTTCTCATATTCAATATCAGTTGACACTTCAGACTGCTGTTTAATTTGCTTTCGATCACTGCCTATGTATTCAAATGCTACCCTATCAAAAGCTTGTATAATGATAGCCAGCGTATTTCGAGGATTAAAAAATCGATAGATTTGATTTAGACCCGGTTTAAAATATATCACGTCATTTTCTTCACATAATCGTGCTAAAAAAGGTTTCTGCTGCGGATTGGCGCTGATATACGGATGAAATTCGATCATAACTTGATTAGAAAGGATGTGAATAATACCGTGTGTGCTTAGTGAATGTTGAATGACTGTCGATTTATGATTTGGTGGCCAAATTTCCATAAATGTCAAATTCCCTATCCTAATTCGAATAGATGTCGAATTTATTCCTCTTGTAAGAGCATTAGCTTTTGTCTGTAATGTCGTATAACACCATCCAGATGGTTCACGACAACTGCTTTCAATCGCAGCAATCGTGAAATTTGGATGCTCTGGATTAGATAGTTTAAAATCCATAACAATTCTATACTATCGCTGGTTTGGTGTATCCAAATCTTCAATTGCTATCATGCTTGTATTAGAATCAGTCGCTTGTTGGTCATCTATCATTTCTTCTGCGGAAACAAATATCGGTGGGTTACCTTCCACAAGATGTTTATATATTTGATGACATAAATTAACTTCTTCACCACTTTCATCTTCATCTTTATCAAATAGGAACTTTGAATATGAAGATTTTAATTTCGTTAAATATTTTTTGTCATCGTTATCCGTCATACGAACACTAAACAATGTACATTCATTTCTCATTTCACCTTGACCATATTTAACCAAGAAATTTTTAAAATCTATGCTGAGCCAATACTTGTATCGACTTGGTTGTACTAGTTGTAAAATACTATCTCGGGCCGTACTGTCCTTTAATACTGTTTGACGACCGTTAACAAGCTTTTGGAGAGTAAGTTTTTCATCGTCAATGGATAGCATAAGCCAATATTGATTTTTCTTATGCTCAAACTTCCTTTTATTTGTTAATAATAGGTGAAATGGCACGGACTGATGTACCTGTACAATTTCTAATGTTATTCCCTGACCTTTTGTTCTTGTTGCTATAGTTATTGGATGCATGCAGCTATCTTTTTCCCAAAACGCAGTGGTGAATAGATTATCATCACCGTTGATTGTGAAAATATGGAGAACAAAGAAAGCTGCTAGGCTTATAGAATACATGGTTTTCTCTCATGAGAACACACTAACTTTTCCAATCAGAATAAGTAAAGGAAGGAAAGTATCGTGCAAGAGACGAGTGTTTTTTATGTTCTATTGACAGATAAAATATGGGAAATATATAAATATGCAATCTGTTCATGTCGTTGGTGGAGAGAAAACGTTTTGTTTCACAAACTATCAGTGTCTATTAATGCTCCTTCGCAATAACGCTTTCTCTAACTACCGAGTACTAACAACGATATTAATAGAACACATCATAATTATTTTTTTCCGTCAGATACCATCGAAGAATTATTTTGTTCTCATCACAAAGAAAACCCACTGCTTGTTTTTGATACATTTCCCATATTTTGTCAGTGGAACACAAACAACACTTTTCTCTTACACGATACTTTCCTTCCTTTATTTATTCTGGTTGGAAAAGTTAGTATCTTTTTATAAGAGATAACCGTGTATTCTGTACGACTTTTGAACTGTTCAAACGCGTTCTTAAAAGAACGCGATCCCTATTGAACGTATCCCCCAAGAATGGGTTCTTATCGATTAGAAACGCATTCAATGACAACTAGTTTATGTTGAAGAGGACAGCGTTCACCTTTACTAAGAATGCGTTCGAACGACCATTCCTTTTTATGAACTGTTTTTCACGTTAGGTATAACTTGTCATGAGCTATCCACAAAACTTGTCAAAAGAAAAGAAACAGCTATAGGCGGTAGTCAAACAATATGCTAAACTTAAGTGAATATTTTTTTCCGTTTATGAATCACAACAATCTACAAGACTCAGCAAATACAAAAGAGAACTCAGCAAATACAAAGCTTTTTTTTCATGTAATCAAGAAACTGTGAGCGACACTGGTCTAATCACTAACACAGCCTTCAAAATCTTGGCAAGAAGTGAGATTATATTTGTATTTACGTCAGAAGGACAGCGGATGATTGTTGTAATTCTCATCAGCTTCCATGCTACCGCCACAAAAGCCATACACATGTGGTCACAGGAAAGAGAAAATAAACACTTGACTGTTGGAGATTCGACTGCTATCCCATACCATATATCTGCAGTACACGAAAGAAGTACACGAAAAAATGATTTTATGCTATATAGACCCGATTCCGAACATCCCGTCAGTTGGTCAGATGTCCGAAAGACCAAGGACGAAAAAGGACAGCCCCAGTTTGCGTCAATGAATAGTCGAGTTCCTAAACACTGGAGAGCCCCAAAGTTTTTTCGCTCAAACGTGGATCAACTACTGCATGGAGGCTCTAAGAACAAAAGATGAATTTTCTTATATACTAGGATCTTTAGCAATGAACTGGCAAACTTGGAAACCTAAATATTCCCCGATTATCATAGCCGACTAACGTGTCCACCTAAAATTTTCTATAAGCCTACTCACACTCATCTCCCACTGCCGAATAGTCGAAAAGTTGAATAATAAAAGTTGAATAGTCGAATAGTGGAAAGTTGAATATCAAAAAGTGAATAGTCGAAATAACAGATCGAAACTTGAAAATATAGAGTGTTTTATTCCAAACGTTGAAGATAATTTTCGACTTTTGGAAAGTCGAAGTGTGTCTTCGTGCTTTATATCTATGAGAAAAACGCGTCTGTGTTTGCGAATTTTCCAGCTGCTAAATGGTATTACTTTTTATGCCATTAGACAGACCGTACATCGAACTATATTTAACACTATTTGAATTTTAAAAAAACACACTTTCAATTTTTCGTCAAATGTGCGCCTGGATGCTCACTGCGTCTGAGCCATATAACATAAATATATGCTTGACGTATACAGAGGGGCATACGTTTAGAGTTGCTATCGAAACGAAACGAAAGGAACTAGACCAAATCATAGGCTGAAATATTTTCGAAGAAAGCTGATTATGTATAAGAAAATTTAGTTTAATTATACTATTTCGCTCACTTATACTTCTGACTGTGTAAAATAAACATTAGACCAAGAAATCACCAAGAGAAAAGACGAATCACTTAAACAAGAATGTAAAAGTTCGATTATTCATTCAGTATAACAGCTGAAGGACTGAATCTTTAGATGGTTACTTATACAGACCAAAGAGCTCTCTCCCAAAATGAGATGTCTTTCAGATCTGCACAATATTTTCTGATTTTTTGGCTGATGAATATGTTATTATATACAGAAACGTTTTCTCTTCATAATGATACAAATTATACATTCACAATAGGACGGAACAATTACGGAGTATCGAAAAAAAGTTTATTATTCTTATTGTTTTCGGCAGAATATTTTCTTTTAATTTATTTGTTTTTTTCGTTATTTTGGATTGTTAAAAGATCCCGGGCTTATATACGTAATAATTAAATAAAAGTGAACCGTCTCGTTTATTTTGCGTTTTACGTTCGGCGTTGTTTTATCTTTACTACAGATAGTTTAAATTTGTTTTGCTATTGTACATTTTGACTGATGGTGTGAAAAGCGTTTCACGAAACGTCTTCAATAGACAATGTTTAAATCGGTGTCTATAACTCTACTATTCTAAATAAAATCGGATTAAACCTGTTATCAGAAAAAATAAGATGAGAGAATTCAAGTACTTATAACTTTTTAGCTAGATGAGCTAGAGACCAGCGGTTTTCAGTATTAGAAAGTGCAACTCAGAAGGCACAAACTCATCAAAAAAGAGGAATTTTCCGAAAGTTTTCACAGGCTAAATTTAGCGGACGAAAGTTGGGAAAATTACTGTGTTTTTCAAAAAAAGCATTTTTTAAAATTGTTTTCGCTAGCCTTATACAGCGCAAGTTCCTCTTTCGAAGGGTATCTAAGCAACCCAAACGATTTTGCTTCCTCGCGGAGCTACAGACGTTTTAATCGGCTGAGCACTCGTAAGGGACTTTTCGCTATAGAAAAGAAAAAATAGTCGAAACATAGGTTATCGACCACACTGAATCTTGCGGCAATATTTGTTTTTCAAAACACTTGCAAAAATCTAGTAAAAACCTATATTAGGTGAAATAATCTATTTTTACCTATATTTGAGGGGTGAAATTTAGCTGTAATGAATTGTAAAGAAAATTTTCGGATAAATTTCCATACGTTCAATAATCTGATTGTCATATTAGGCCGTTCGTTATCCAGAGAGAATACTCATCTTATAGAAACTATCTCTTTTGAAAAACGAATTGCTTGTGCCTTGTACGTGTTATCATCTTCTAGTGAATTACGTACTGCCGCACATTTAATTGTTATTGGTAAATCAACCGTTGCAAATATTTTACATGAATTTTGTGAAACAGGCGTCGAAAAATATTTTAAAAAATTCATCCAGTTCCCTAATACTACACAACAAATTCTAGACAAAATCAACGATTTCCAGAACAAAATATGATTATCCAATGTATCTGGTGGGGTTGATGATACCCATAGTGCTGTTCAGCCTCCGGAAGGAGAAGAAACAGATTACTTTAACTACAAGAAACACCGTTCAGTCATTCTTTTAGGGTGATTTACACCTTGATACACGGCTCTTTGGTTTAAGCTTTAAGCTTGAACCGGAACGAAATCCAGAATATAAATTCCCATTATGTTATTCTGAAACTTAAACTATCAAAACACAAAAATGAGTCGACTGATTACGCGGACCTTTCCACAGACTAAAGCCACTTGAACTACTTTCCAGTTTGAATTGTATCGATGATGGACTTCTGCAAAGTATCTTAAGTGGTTTGAACAGAATCAACAATACAAAAATGTTAAATTTTTGAGCACACTACTGACTACTATTAAAAGATTTCCTGGCCGTTCTTCTTCCATCATAAAAATTTGTTTCTCATCTAGATCGATAGACAAACGTGCGAAGAATATTTACTATGGGAAAGGAATTCTGCTTGTAATTCTCAATTTTCTTCATCAGAACTCAACTTTTATGCAATAATAATATCATATTCGGAATTAGATCAAAAACTGAGTCGACCAATGTGTATTTCGAAAATTTTCTTTGATTTTCATTTTTGATGAAAATCTTGATAATTTTTCAACATGAAAATTCGACAAAAGCTAAACTAGTCGGATAGGATGGAAATGCACATTAGTCGACTCAGTTTCTGATCTAGTTCCGAATATGATATTATTATTGCATAAACGTTGAGTTCTGATGAAGAAAATTGAGAATTACAAGCAGAATTCTGGCTTTGCAGAAACATTTCCATTGTCATAGTACTCCAGGACACTTTTTTCCCTATATTATACGTATCAATTGTAGCTCAAGAAATTCTCTATCAGATGAGGCATCGGTTGAATCTTTTCGTTATGCCGTTATTTTTTAAATGGGACTTTAAACTAGTAGGGAAGAGTAAATTAACATTAATTAGTACTAATTAGTTATTAACAGAAAGGAAAAGGCAAAATTCTTCCTTCTTTTCTTCGTTTCCCATAGTAAATATTCTTCGCACGTTTGTCTATCGATCTAGATGAGAAACAAATTTTTATGATGGAAGAAGAACGGCCAGGAAATCTTTTAATAGTAGCCAGTAGTGTGCTCAAAAATTTGATATCATTCTTTTAAATAATTTATGTTTTTTCTAGCCAAATAGTGCCAGTAAACCGAAAAAACTTCAGAACAAATAGTTCAAAGTGTCCTCCTCAAACTGGGAAATCCTAGATGCTTATGTTTTAATCAATCATCTTTAACTACCGATATCAAGCAACCACTATTTACAAGGAAAAGAAATTATAGAATAATGTTATGTACAACCTCATTTATTAGCTTCATTTTAGATTAATACAAGCAACTATATGACATTAAAAATATTGAAAATTTAACTAAAACTGTTTGTGTATTGCTGAATTTTTGTATTAATATACACGATACTATTAAACTGAACGGGATGTAGCGGAGTCCAAATACAAAAAACCATT